ATGGCAGCAGCTCCTGTCTGGGGGGAGGTCTGAGCTCCCGGACCTGGCGCGAGCCAAAAACTGAGCTGGGCTGCCTGCCCGCTTGGCTCCTAATACACGTGAAATGCAGAGCCGCAGCGGGGGTAGGTCCTTGACCCAGCACAAGCTGGGACTGAGCTGGGCTGCTGGCCAGCCTGCTGCTAACCTACTGGCACGGGTGGGGGAGGTATGAGTGTATTCTACAACATTAACTAATAAGCAAAAGCGTAGAGGTTAAATCAGCTACCCTACTCATCCTTAGTTAGTATTTGTAACTTTACTAACTTCTCAGGATGTTTAATTCTGGCATATTCTGCCTGTTTGTAATTACCTTAATTAGCGTGGTAATCTTTCGGATCCTAGACACAGAACGTGCCTCTTCCTATGTACATCTGAGAGGGCTTCAGAGTCTGTCACTGGTTAAGTACTTCTCTGTTTGGGGCCTGAGATCTCCCCCAGATCTTGGAGGAGCAAAGCCAAACATGTAAAATGCCACGAACGGGTATTTTTGAGTATTTGGCTTCTTAAAATAGGAGCCGTATTCTTAGTGCTCCCACCCACGCCTTGCTTTGCAAGATGCATGAGTAACCATAATCCCAGCATGATGACTTGTCTGAAAAATGTGGTTGTAGGGCTGAGTAAAAGCAATCTGTCATGTGATCTCGGGAGCAACTCTGACATTCCTCTGGAGGAATGGGTTGCTTCCCCCCCCCTACCCCCCCAGACAACACTGTGAAGGTTAAAAAACCAATGAATGGTCTGGTGGCACTTTATAGACTAGTTCGGGGCTCATGGGGGGAAATGAGAGGATGATGCTGAGAGAACAGGGAAGGGTGAAGGTGTCAAATTCTGCCAGGTTTCCACTGGTACAGTCATTACTAACGACCTCCTCGGCCGTTGCCAAGACCAAAGTTTGTTTAACTTTCGAGGGGACAGGCTACTAGTTAAGGTGGTCCCTGTACAATAGGGCAGCTGCTCAGCTGAGTCCAGACGTCTCTGGACCAGGTTGGTATTTCCTTGTTCATTCACCCTCGCTGCTCTTCTTCCAGAGATGGAGAGGGGGCGACTTGAAAGTGCTTCCTTGCGCAGTGGGGTGCCGGTGCTGAAAGGGGGCTTCCCACGAGGGGCCCAGGGGGTTACAGAGGACAGGAGATTAGCGGCACTTGGCCCAGGAGTGTTCTGCTCAGCGATGATTAACTCTCAGTGCATAATCAGCTTCCAAGCGGGTAGGCCGCCGAACGGCGTGAGATGTAACCAAGGCGGCTCAGCAAAACATGCCGGCCTGCGTGCGTTCGCCTCGGCCCCCTGGAACAGTGGCTCCGTGTCTTGGACTCGCCTGCCTGTAGGTACAAAAGCCTTTGCTTGGGGAATTTTTAAATTCAAACTGGGCCCCTCGCAGTTAGATTTAATGGTGGGGGAGGGGGCCTGTTTATGGGGCTGTGCCCTCCCCCCCACCCTTCTAACTTGCTCAGCCAGGCAGTGTCCTGTAAAACCGGTGTGGAGCCCGACGGTTTATAACGAGCTTTAAATAACTGTGAAACCTGAGGATTAAAATGTGGAAGGAAGCGTAAGAAATTGAAAATTGTGGGAGGGAGAATATTGACCCCCGGAATCTGACTGCGGGATTAAAAGGCCCTGAGGCAGGCCCCCTGCGGAGCGGCTGCTTGTACGTTTATTGCACGCCCATGGATCTGTCGCACAGTGGGACTCTCCAGCAGAGAGGTTCAGGCTGTCCGTAGTTGGAAAGGTGATTTTTCCGTCCGTGACCTTCAAGCCTGTGTCCCTTCGGCTGTAGGAACCTGGGTAAACCTTTCCGCTGTTGATCAGAAAGATTAGCGTAGGGTTTGGAAACCGTTAACACCTTACAGTGGTGTGTGTGAAACAGCACAAGCCTGTTTCATGACACGGCCCTTGCCTAGGGCCCATTCTGTTCTTGAAGGGATCTGCCTCGCTCAGCTCTTTGTTATTTGTGGTTCCACTTGTTCGTGGGTCTCGTGTCCTGGCCTGGTGGGGGGAGCTGCTGTGAGTTTGGGAGCCATGGCTCTCGGTATTCGCAAATTTAGCCATTTGTGGTGGTTGCGTTCTTCCATCCACCCAGAATGGCGAGGGTTTCCTGTGCGGGTAGAACTTATTTTGGAAATTCTTTCATCTGCTTTTTTTTTTTTCCTGTCTTGTGTTTCTTTCCTGATGAGTAAAATGTCCTCCCTGTCTTGAGTTTCTTTCCTGATGAGTAAAATGTCCTCCCTTCATTTGTAACCTTGAGCATCAACCCAGCAGCCTCTGTCTGTTTACTTTGTGCATGAAAGACATTCCTAAAAATGTGCAGGCTGGATAGCATCATTGGTGATGTAGCTAGTTAGAGATTTAACGGTACTTCCTCCGCCTGTAAGAAGCGGTGCAGAATCCTGATAGGTTGAAGCTGAATTTATCTGCTGAAAGGACTCGCTTTTGCATCTTCTGCTCAGATGGAAACCTTCTGTTAGCAGCGTAAGGCTGGAGTCTTTTCAGTGCTATATATTTTTGTCTTAAGTGGCTTATTCATAACTTTATTATTAGATTTATCAGTGGTGGGATGCTTTTTTTCCTGTAGCTAGTGAGTAATGTAATAAGCCAAGTCCTCATAAATAGCAGCATTTTTAAATGACAGGATCTCTGATTTGCCATTGGAGTCCAGGAAGGAAGGGTGGTGGTGCATTGGCTTCTTTCTTTCTTGGGTTAGCATGAATAGCAGTGTCTGCTTGGAACCAAAGTTGGGGTATCTTAGGTCATGTCTATACTTATGTGGAAGTTCAAATTAAAATCCAGAACTCCAGTTACATTAATTATATAGCTAGAGTTGACGTACCTTAATTTGAATTTTGGCGCCATCTCTGCAGCGGGAGCTGTTGACTTCCCTTACCCCTTGCAATTTGAGAAGCACCAGCATTGATGGTGGCACACTCAGCATTTGATTTAGTGTGTCTTTACTAGACTTGCTAAATCGAACGCTGGAAGATCGACCGTTGCAGCATCGATCTCTGTGTTAAGTATAGACGTGGCTTTAGACTTTCTCTAATGGTGGACTCCGCTGGTCCACCATCAGAATCCCTATTTGGAGGTGAAAAGAGTTAGCACTTAACTTCAGCGCGTTGTACAAATGTTATGTAAGGCAGGGCGTTTTCAGTGACTGATGGCTTGTGTATCCTGTCTTAATCAAATGCAGTAGCAGGATGTCAGCAGCGGATCTCATGCATATTTAGATGAGGGCTTAATATGCCAATTCAGGCGTCACTTATGACTCTTCTGTCAAACCCGTGGCAAACACAGCAGTGCTTCCCCGTGTCTGTCCAACTGCCTGCCTAACGCTCTCCGCAGTACAAGCCAGAGGAGCTCCTTAGGTTAGTGGCTGACTTACAGGAAACGTTGCTGTTTTGTGCAGCTGCGCAGGATCTGTGCCGCCGACCAGCTAACCCCCAGTGCTGAGTTCTTAATAGGATCACCCAGCACTCAGGGAAATAACAGGCTCATGTGTAGGATGTAGCTGACTGTAACGTCAATCTGTGGGGTTAACTCCAGAATCATTTCGCTCGGTGTTCTTGGCCCCGCGAGCCGAGCACACTTCACGCTTGGTTTTCCTGACCAAATCGCGCCTGGTCTCACTCTGCCAAGTCCCACGGTGCAGCTGAGACAGGCTTGGACGGGCACCTGATAGACACGGTTCAAACTTCAAAGAGCACTTGTGTTGCAGCTTCCAGCATCCAAGGACCGTTCTAATGCTGCCATAGCCCGTGACGTTCCCTAAGGGTTATCCGGAACAAACGTGTGATAAGCACAGTTGGAAATGTGGGTGTAATGCGTACCGTTGCAGTCACTAACGTTTTAACGCCTTTCCTTTCTCTCTCCGGTAGGTCCCACCCACACGACCTGCCCTTGAACTCAGACCTCCACCCCCACTCCGTCGTTACGGTAATCAGTGGGGAGGAGCACTTTGAGGATTACGGCGAAGGGAATGAAGCGGATTTGTTCTCCGACAGCCTGTGTAACGGGGAAACCAGCTTCAGCAACTCCTCTTTCCTGTCTCCCAGGTAACGTCGCCCCTGGCACTGGGCGGGCTGTATCACCTTTCTTTTGAGTAGCATCTTAAAGCAGAGCTTGTACATATGTGGCTTCCTTTTGTGTCCTACGGCACAGAGGGAGCCCTGTCAAGTGGAATACAATTAATTAGACTATTTCGAAGTTTTTAAAGTCTCTTGTCGGGTTGATTTTCAGAGTAATCTTCATCGCCCTGACCAGGGATGCTCAGAGCTCCAGTAGCAGTTGTTAGGGATGCATCGGGGGAAAGTCGTATTTCTCTTCCTGGGAGCGGTGTGACTAACGCTAAAACCTTTTGTTAGAGCAAACTGGTACCCTGCCTTCGCTGGGGCCTCTTTCTATGGCGTGCACGTGGGAAGTCGCGTTTCACTAGCTAACGCCGCCGTTGCTGTTCAAGCCAGCACAAATAGCAGGCAGGGCTTGGAGGCGGTGACCAGGCAGGGCTTGGAGCGCGGCGGATGCAACGAAGGGTTTGGGATCAGGAAGTCGCTGGCCAAGAGGCTAGTGTGTTTTCAGGAACAAGTCGTTTGTCCTGCTCCTGGAGAACAATCCAGCTAGAAAACAGAGTGAAAACCAGGAAGATTTCCTTGATGCTGACCTACTGCCGCATCTGAATAGAGGTTTCCTGTGGAAACGAAGGACAAGAAAACTCCCCTAGTGTGTTTTCTATCCGTTGAGAAGCCGGAATTCTGTCTGGCTTTGTGCATGGGAGTATCAGCCACCATCGCCAATATGACAACCCTGAAGTGGTGTTGGAAAAGAACACGACTGTTTCCCTTTAGGACAAGGGCACCTGGAGTGACTATGTGTGTGCTTCCCCCCTCTTTTGTTTGTTCTCTCGAAGCCCTACAGAACTCTGACTTGCCTGGGGGTCTGCTTCCCAAGAGTCAACGGCGCCCCATTAAAACGCAGCAGGCAGGTCTGGCCTCCATGGGCCTGAAAAGGAAAAGCACTTGTGAAAGTCACGTGCGCGTTGCTTTTAATTGCAGTACGGGGGACGCCATTGCTGTCTTTCCCCTGTGATTTTAGCAAAGATGATCTTTGGCCACCCTCCCACCCAGACGCGCCCACCCCAGATGAAACCGCTTCCCTGTGGGAGGCGCTTTTTAAACTAAGCTTTGTGAGCCTGACGTAGCATTTCGATCACTCTCTGTGGAGTGTCCAGCTGTCGTTTCCTTTCCACAGGAGCCCCCAAAATCCTCTCTGCCCAGCTTTGATCCCCTCTCCATAACGTTCTGCCTCTCGGCATCTCACTGATGGCCTTCACACTGCTACTCCAGGTGCCCAGGGGAGGGGTTTCCGAAGAACAGAGGTGAAAATGAAGGCCATGGAAGTCCCAGAGAAGTGGCAGAAGATGCCATCAGAAGTTGTAACCTACTGTGTCACTAGACTACGGGCCTGCTCCTGGGCTCTGTCCAGATTTGGGATGTTAAAGACTAGTCGACTATCTAATAAGTATTTGCTTTATCAGATAGTTAGTCGACTAGTTGATTTTCCCATCCCCCTTGCTGCCTCTGTATTATAGAGGCAGCAAAGGGGGGAGGGGAAGGGGTACTTCAAAGTGTGGTAGCACTGCACAGCTGTGCGGCACTGCCGCTTTGAAACTCCAAGGCAGCATTTCAAAGGGACAGCCGTGGAGCCCAGGCTCAGCGGGGGACTTCCCAAGCTGATCCCGGGTTCCGCACGGCCTTTCCCCAGAATCCAGGGTCAGCTGGAGAGTCCCCCGCTGATTCTGAGCTCCATGGCTGGGGACTCCTGTGCGTTTCAAAGCAGGCACCCATGTGCAGCCCTGCGTCAACGGGGTCTCTTGTACATTTCAAAGGTGGAATGCGGAAGTGCCTATCGACTAGTCAATTCACCTCATTTTAACACCCCTAGTCCTGATGTGCATGAAGTCCACTGGTTTGAGTTGTCTCTAAGAGTAATATGCTGTTTCCTCAGCAACATCCCTATCTAACCAAGTGGGGTGAAGCTGGCTTGTGCTGTGATGAACAGAGGGCATCTGGCTGGGATGGCCTGGGTTTTGCTGAGCTGTTAGATACCAGAAGCAGTTTGCGGAATAAGCAATCATGTCTCCACTGCAGTTCCTGGAGAGCTGAGCTAGATCTGAGCAGAGATTTAAGATCACAAAGGGAGCGTCCTGGTGAACGGACTCTTTACCTTTGTTTGTGTCACCCACCCACACCCACACCCACACCCACACACACACACACACACACACACACACACCCACCCATGCTGGCTTCCTGCCGTATGTCTCTGTCGAGCTGCACTGAAACAGTGGTAACCGAAATAAAAGGCTCCTGTACCCTTTTTCTTACCGGATAACCCACCCTCTGTTGTAAGCACTGAGCAGACCCTCTACGGGCAACACTCCAGGACTGTCGCGGAAGATGGGAGAGGGAGCAAGATGGTCTTGTAAGTTGCGATGTGCCACTGTGCTGCCCGTCAGCATGCCTCGGGCGGGTTCTGAGGCCAGCGGCCACTGGCCTCTGCCCACCCAGTTTGCAGGCAGTCCAGTGTAGGACTTCATTTCCTAAAGTGTGATTGAAACACTTGTAAAGGAGGCTGTTGGTGGGGGGATGACACGGGGGAGGGAGGGTTCCCAAGCAATTGTTTTTAGATCTGGAGATAGGTATATCTCAGAGCTGGAAGGGATCTCGAGAGGTCAAGTCCTGTCCCCTGCCCTCACAGCAGGGCCAAGCACCATCCCTGATGGATTTGCCCCAGCTCCCCCCTCAAGGATTGAACTCACAACCCTGGGTTTAGCCGGCCATTGCTCAAACCACTGAGCTATCCCTCCCCACCACTTCTTGACCCATTTTAGCACATGAGTTTTTATTAATAAATCTCAATCTGCCAAATTTCTTAGATGTAAAAAACAACGAATTGTCTAGTAGCACCTTAAAGACTAACACACGGACTATTTGTTGTATAAGTTTTTCTAGTTCGACAAACTCGGCTACTCCTCTGAAGTTGTTAGATGTCGTGAGCCTCCCAGAGGGTGAATTGTTTCTTCCTTCCGTCTTTGTGACGGGCTAAGCGCTAATAAAAACACTCCTTTGGAGTGTCACATTGTAAAACAGACAAAGTGACAATCCCCGCTCATGCCTTGTTGTCAAAAAGGATGTTTCCCTTTTCCCAATCACCCTTCCGCAGCTGCCCAGCAGCCCAGTTTGTCAAGCACCAGCCGCCAGAGTCGCTGCTGCTGTGATCTTCACTGAACATCCTCAATCCTAGGGGGAGGAAACACGTCTTCAGAATTTCGTTACACAGATTGACAGGTTTCGACAATTCAGGGATGATTTAGTTTAAAACACTGTGTGATCTGGCAGGAGGGGTGGTGAGGAGGCCAAGAATACTGCACAGAGCTGACACTCGGAGCTTTGCAGCCTGATCCCGAGAGATGCTGGGTGTCTGACGCTCTCCTTGAAGTCCAGTGTAGAGAGCTTGTGAGCCTCAGTGACAACGCTCATTGCCTGCAGTGAGACTCAGCACCTGTTCGGATCCAGGCCGTTTGCTAGACAAGCATCATCAATCTGTACCACATGGTTGACTTAATCCTCACAGGCATCTTTGTTTTAACCTTGTTTCTGCCTGCTCACGCCTCTACCTCTCTCTGGTTTGATTAAATGTCTGTCGTGCTTAACTTTAACCTGTGTCACTCTTAACCTTCCTTTGGTTGCAGTTTGTGGCTTCCAGAAGTGTTTCCATTTGGTGAGGCTGTACAGCACCCCCGAAATATCACTCGCTCTTTACCAGTGGTTTCACCAAAAGATTTTTAATAGCCGCGGAGAGCGACCAGGTGGGCTAGACATGATCTTTTATTGGATCGGTTTCTATTGGTGAAAGATGCAAGCTTTGGAGCCTACACAGAGCTCCTCTTCAGGTCTGGGAAACTGTCACCACTAAATACAAGGTTGGAACTGTAAATAGTTAACACACATTTCAAGGTGAAATGGGCGACCAAAAAGCTACACTAACACTGCAGCCAACACTGGAAATGAAGCCATCAAAAATGATTGGCTGCCTTATTTGCCAAATGCCACTGACTGAGTCACTTGGGTTCTACATCGGTCACTGAAAACCAAAGCCTAGTAAAGCATTTCAGAGTCTTTTCAAACATGCTCGCTTCACCATCATTGGCCTTCACGTAGTTTCTATTGAACACAAAACTGAGCTGACCCTGCCAACTCACGCACGTCACTCGGAAGAGAGAGGTGATTGAGCTGGCCTTTTATTATTTTTTGTTAACACTTCTTTAAAAGCTGCACCTTCTGAACTGAAAGCCCTACCTGGTAGGGTGCCGCCCTGTTTCCATCAGCTGGCTGCATTTCCAGTCTGCCTTTAGAACATTCCCAGAGGCAAATGGTGATGTCTGATTGAAGATATTTGGCTTTCAAACTAAATCACATCCCAGCAGCATGTCAGTGAGGGCTGTTTCCAATCAGGCAAACCATAAAGTTTTACTGCTGGTTAAAAGGGTAGCTCTCAAAACTGATAACCTTATTAGGTAGGTCTGCATGCGGGTGAATATCCCACATGCATCCTAACATTTCACTGATCTTGAGAAAGCAATGCAGATTAGTGGCAGCCTGACAGATACATTGGGAGACCCAAAAAAGTGAATTGACCCAATCCATCCCTGTAGCAAGTGGACCCTGTCCCTCTGAGACAAAGTGGGAAGAGGTGATTGCTTGTAATAAGGATGATCTGACCCAGTGTAGCCCACAAAATGGCTTCATTGCCAGTTGCGCTTCTCAGCCATTGATCGTTGGACTCGATGTTTTGATCGTTACGTTTGCCCTGCAATCTTATTGCCGTTCTTGCACAAAAAGCTTGTGGCTTGCCACCAGGTCCCACCCTTCCCAACAGCCACGTGACTTGTGGAAGCCACAGACCAAATCAGATCGGGCTCTTCTGTCCTGTTAAAATGACACTTGTGATTTCTCTAGCGTCAACCCGCTCGTTGCGAAACTGCACAGCATTGTCACTGATGAGGCCTTTGAGTTTCACTGTAGCCAGTGCCACAAACACATCAACCGCCTCGAGGACCTTTCCGCTCGCCTGAGTGATCTTGAAATGAATAGGTAATTGACCTTATGCATGGCTGTCTGAGTGTGCGACCCACCTTCTGAAGAAGGGGAGACTCTCATTGTCATCCTCGCTTGCCAAGTTACGTTGCTTGTGCTTCATTTTCAATGGATGGAGAAGTGGATGTTGGAAGAGAGCCGTCGGGCCTCTTCAGGTCTCCAAATTTTACCCTGTGACCATATGAAAGTCTTTATTAGACATTAAACAGAAATCTTGTTGCGCCACAGTATGGAGCGAGCAAAAGGTATTGACAATGGGAATCTTTCATTCTCCCCAAACCTGTCTCTTTGCATGCACTGGTGGTTGCATGCACTGGTGGTTGTGTGTGATGTGAATGCGACACTGATTACCGCACTCGGTGTAGTCATTCTTCTTACGTCTAAACTGTCTTAAGTTTGGCATGTACAGTATTTGCATTGCTGGGAGAAATGGCTAGGGAGCAACTTGGATTAAAACCATTCATTGTGAGTGGCCAGCTGGGCAAGCAACTAGTGCAGAAATACCAAGAGGCTCTAGCACCACTGCTTCAGTCGTGGCCAGCGTAACTCAACCCTTCATCCTTCTGCTGTAGGGAACTTGAATTCCATGTGGCTCTGTTGGCAGAGATGCTAAAACGAGAGGCTTGTTCTGTTCCAGGTGGCCACTAGAAGTTCTGTGGTACGTGGCAGCCAAATAGGAATTGGCTTCAGGGTTTTTGTCGAACATCCTCAAATCGGCGTGAGAGCTGTCTCCGTACTTAATGATGAGTCCTGCAGCACCTCAGAGACTAACAGATTTCTTAGGGTGTGAGCTTTCATGGGAAAATCCCACTTCATCGGATAAGTTGGCGTGGACGTGACGGGTGTATATACAGTAAAACTCCATTGGTCCGGCATCTGATGGTCCGGCACCATCAGGAACCCGGAAGTGCTCCAGGCAGCCGGACCATTGGAGCTGCTCTGCCCCCAGCTTCCCCGATTCAGCTGCTGCTAAAACTGACCAGTGGCTGGAACGGG